TGCCACCAGATTCAATATCAGAATGATATTCAAGGTTAGCCCTGTGTCTCATGTAGAGTGCACAGCAGTAGTCCAATGGGGAAATGACTAAAACATCTAGGTATAATATATGGCAATGAGCAAGGCCTTCCAACAATTGATGCACAAGATAAATCTTTACCAAGTCCCCCTACCCACTTGTTCCTCAAATAGGAGCAGTGAAGGCACCCCCATTGTGCAGCAGTTTTGTCTGGAAAAATCTAGAGTCAAAGATGACATCACCAGATTGATAGTTTAAAATTCAAAGCCATTCCATCTTGCCATAATTGAGACAAAGTTAGTTCTTCCTCATCCAGATCCACATAACCTTTTGGAGCACTGGATCCAAACGAGAGAAGCATCTCCTATCTAGGCAGGGATAGAGATGTATAATGAGGGTGTTATCAGCATACTGATGATACCACATATCATGCCTTCAAATGACTTCATCCAGCAGTTTTATGTAGCTGTTGAAGAGGAGTGGCAAGTGACCATAGCTATGAGGAGCCCCACACTGCAGGTGCCATCCCTTAGTAACACTGATTGGAAATGGTCACAGCGGATGGAGAAGTACCACAACAAAATGGTGCCTCCCATTCTTAATCCCCAGAGCCAACCGAGGATATCATGATTAATAGTATCAAAAAGATCCTGGAAGGCCGAACCAATTATACCATCTCAATCCTGACCTCTTCCAAGGTCATCTGCAAATGTAATCAAAGTTGTATCAGTACTATACCCTGGCATAAATCCAGAATTAAAAGGGCCCAGATAATCTGCGTCATCCATTGCCCTCTGTAGCTGAACACCAATCACCCTCTCAACAATCGCCCCTAAAAAGAGAAATCAAAGACTGGATGAAAGATATACAATATTGTTGAGCCCAAGGATAGCCTTTAAAATGGGATTGTACCTCTGCCTCCTTTCAGGTACAATAAAGGTGAATGATTACTTTAATACTTAATGAGGAATGCTTCATTGCATGCTTTGCAAGATACCAGCTCTTGTTTTGAATGTGTCTCTCTTAAAGAGCTTCACAAATCTGAACTGTTGCACATTCGACTATGTTTGTGATTCAGATATAGAAACAGAGCTGAGAAAAAAAATTGTGCCCTAACAGCTGGCATAACATAATGTCTCCATATTTGGAATAACAATGCTAGTTAAATTTGGCTGGAATCAATGAACAAGAATTTATTCACTCTTGCCCAAATGTTTATATATTCTTTATGAATGGATTGGAAAGGGTAGAATTAAATTAATTGAACTAGAAAGGAGTAAAATAGGCAAGTAAACAAGTTGCCTAGTAATTGCTAATATGTGTTAGAAGCTTGAATTGTTTCGTTATATTGCAAAGCATCAACAGCCCAATGGCCAGCTAATAGAGGAAGTTCTTATTTCACCATAAGTAACACGTAGGAAGGAGGTTTAAAAGAGGGCTGAGATATCACATATCATCACAGTGGCAAGGATAGTCTTTGCCCAAAACTGGAAATCAACAATGATACCCATCCCATGGACCTGGCAATAACTAATAAAATCCACCAATGCACAGAAATGGTTAGACTAACCATGTTACTAAAAAACAAGGAAGGGGGGGAGTTTTTTTTTACAATTTGGAATATATGGTACAAATGGTTGTATAAAAAGGAAATAAAGATGTCTAGTGAAATCGATTAAACAAAAAATAAGGGAAAATGGAAATAGGGATAAATATAGCTATGTATATATGTAAAGTAATATAATTAAATAAATATTGTATTATAATTGTAATAATAACATAAATAAGTAAGGATTTAGGAAACAAGTTATAGATTTACTTGTAGCAAATGACTTTAATTGACTCTAATAGAAATGTACACTGCTATGAAACATTGCAAAAATGTGAGAACATGTTTCTCTCTTTTTTAAAGATTCTTTTTTTTGAAACTTTCAATAAACATTAAAAAAATAAAAAATAAATAAAAGAGGGCTGAGAATCCAGATGGATCTAAACAGACTTCAGCACTGGGTCCTATCTAACAAAAAGAAATTCAACGTAGAGAAAAGTAAGGATTTACACCTAGACAAGAAAAATCAAATGTACGGGTCCAGATTAGGAGAAACCTGCCTGAACAGCAGTAACTGTGAGAGCGAACTTGGAGTCCTAATGTACAATCACTTAAATATGAGCCAGCAGTGTGCGGCAACAGCCAAAAAAGCCAACATGATTTTAGGTTGAATTAACAGAAAGATAGAATAAAGATCGGGTGAAGTATTAGTATCGCTTTATACAACCTTAGTAAGATCACACTTAGAATACTGCATCCAGTTTGGGTCACTGTATTATAGAATCTCTGAAAAGAGTGCAGAAAAGAGCAACAAAGATGATTAGGGGACTGGAGGCTAAAACATATAAAAATGGAATTAGGTTTGTCTAGTCTAAGGAAAAGAAGGATTAGGGGTGACATGAGAGCTGCATTCCAATATCTCAGGGGCTGCCACAAAGAAGAGGGGCTCAACCTATTCTCCAAAGTACCAGAAGGCAAGGCAAGACACAATAGATGGAAACTAATGAAGGAGAGAAGCAACCTAGAACTAAGGAGAAATTTCCTAACAATGAGAACAATTAACCAGTGGAATTGCTTGCTTCAGAAGTTGTGGGTCCTCCATCATTGGAGGCTTTTCAGATACTGGACACCCACTTGTCTGGAATGGTCCAGGTTTTCCTGCTTGAGCAGGGATTGGACTAGAAGACCTCCAAGATCCTTTCAAACTCTGTTGTTCAGTTCCTTATTGCCACCCTTAAAAGATAGATAAAGAAACAAATGCTATTTATGGCTAAAGCTACTTTTTAAAAATTAACATTGACCGTAGTAACATAATCTTGCAAGTCTGAGTTTGTTTCTCCTTTTATTTATGTGAATTCAGAAGGTATTTATCTGAGATTTTTCAATGTTTATTCCCTTATTGCCATAATAATAGAGCTTCCTTCTCTCTGTCAAGGTCATCCTCTTTATTCTCAGCAATCATACAGAGCATTACCTGGTGAAATTACCATAAGACATGTTTATGGACACTGGTGTGGATGGCTTTAAAACTGGATGGGGAACTCTTGGAGGACAAGGATAGCAAAGGTCCTTGGTCCTGAAGACTGACTCACTGTTACCTTAGTTAGGTGCAGAATGACTCTTCTTGAGGGAACAATAGCAGAAGCCTCGCTTTTGGCCTGCAAGTATGTGGGAGGCATCTGGTTGACCTTTGCGAGTGTCAACCCTTCATGGTAATTGAGACAAGAAACCAATACCACAACTAGTAATGCTACCTTTATTGTAAGGGTACAGAAACAGAATCATGTTAATGTTAAAACATCTCTCTTCCCCCTTGCCTTTACTTTGCAGGGGACTAGAGAGTGTCCTCTCTGAGATGCTTTCCACACCCCATTCCTTCTGTGGACTGAAATGTATCTTATCCATCTCTGGCCCAGGCCTTTCTTCCTCCTGTCTTCAAAGGGTATTTCCACAGATCATTGCAGTGATCAACAAAATATTGGAAGAAGATAAGCCTGAGCTTTTCCTGCATGGCTATTCTTATGTGCAGATAGAATTACAATGTCAAAGGAAGCACCTATTTATCTGTAAACATTCAGAGGCATGATGGGCAGAATAGAAATTTGAAAAGTAAGAAATAAATTTCAGAGTCACAGTTGTCAAGCAAACATCCTTGCAATCCTGTGCATTTTATGTATTGCATTTCATGCGTTATACTCCACATATTGCATGCGCGGGGGTTGGGGAGAATTTCAAGCTTGAATTCCAAGTCTGGATCTTTAAAAAGGTACTGTATTGTTTATGCATCTCTTAAATTTGAGCAATTTATACCATCATCCACCATTGTCCCAAGAGATCGCTGTCTTAAACTTTCCCAGTAGATGATGTCTCTCTTAGTTACTGTTAATTGAACTCTAAATCTGAAAGCTTCTTGGGGTATAAGGAAATAAATCTCTCTCTCTCTCTCTCCCTCTCTCCCTCCCTCCCCCCCTCTCTCTTTTGCTAATAGCTGGGGCCAACACTTGCAAAACTTCAAAGGGGCTTGTGAATTAAAGCTTTTCATCAGTGGGACTTCTTGTCGGAGTTCTAATCTTTCATGCTTTCTAATGCAATAACATCAAAGGAACCCAAAGAGAATTGCAGCTACTCCAAAGCAACGTTACACACACTCACAATAAAATAGTTAACAACCACCCCACAATTAAAAGAAGAAAACAATTATTTACATAAGCTATAGTTTAATAATCATGATTATTGCCCCCTCCCCTTACCCCCAAAAATCAGATTGTACAGTTCAAAGGTAATATCCAGTGCTCATGGGACCGCTGGAAGAAAATGAAAAAGAATTAGGAAGTGTCTTATGTATAAATCTTCAAAGCCAAAGCAACCAATTTATGTTTCATTCTTACTTACTGAAATGTCGTTTGCATATTTTATTATTCCTATCATCTTGCTTGTTACAATCCATCCAAAGAATTCTCAAAGAACATTAAGTCCTACAAATAAATAAACTGTGAATGATGAGCAAGATACAAAATGGCAACAATTAATATCAAAAAGCTGATTTGTAAGGTTTCATTACACCAAAGACTTTTATTATGCTTATTATTATTTTTATTAGACAGCTGCTCTTCTGTGTGTTGCCTCTGGGCAAAGACAATTTTGTGCTAGAAGAAATTGGAAAGCCTTAAAGTATCAGGAGAATGTTACTTCCAGTCTTCTTTCTTTAAAAAGTTATATGGCAGCTCTTGGGTTGCGGAAGGGAAAGCAGAAGTAGAACATAACTTGTCTAGACTTTCTTCTTTGCTGATAAGAATTTCCAGCAGAATTTTAAAAATGCCATGTAATATATTTCTCTCAATATCACATATTTGATATATTAGGGCTACAGCTCCCATAATTAATATGCTTGTTTAGCAAAGGCCATGCTATTGCCTGCTAATGGATTTTGATGGCACACAGAAAAATAATTCCAAATTGGAACAAAGATACATACATCCCAATATAAGTCTATTGTATTTAGCACAGAGTTCACAAGCCTTGGGTAGTAACACAGATGATTATCTGGATATATATTTAAAAGTTGCCAAGTGATACATAGTTTATTTTGGGGATGCATTAAAACATTATAAAGTAATCAAAGGAGAAGAAAGAAGGGGAAACATACTTACTAGGAGAAAGCAAGCACCGATCATCACAGCTTTGATTTTTACATCAAGGTCCACAGGAATCTGAATGCCAAAGTTGGCTGTATTAGTAAATATGTTATTGACAAATCCAGACCAATACTTAGAAATCTTGCCAATAGTTGTCATATCGTTTAAAGATTTTACCTGCAGGGAAAAAGAAACAGCATTAGAAATCATTTGGAAAACTTCAGCTGTATATTCCTGAAATATTTAAATAATTTCTCTAACTCTGATGAGTCCTCCTGACACATTGTTGGTTAGCAAAGTAACAAACTGATAGTTACTGAAGATTTTCTCTCTGCTTGGCCAAGGATATTTTTAGCATGTTAAATGTTAGCATAAGCAAAGCTAAAAACCAATAAAATGAAATGCAGAGCAGGTGGCTGGGTGGGTTGCCCTTGTGGAACTAAGAGGTTTTTTTCCCTATGATTTTGTGATTTGATGTTAATGGGATTGTTGTTTGGGAGCCATCCTGGATTATGATCCATCAGATGGGAGGGTTGAAAATATGTTTAAAATACATAAATAAATGTTGGGATAGGCAATCTGTATTCCCAGGACTGGATATTGCCAGAGTACATTCATTAACTGGCAGAGACATGATTAACAAAGTCAGCAAGTGAGTAAGCATGGTAACAGACCAGCCAATGGGAGCTAACAGCCTGGGTGTAGTTTGGCTCTGTGTGCTTTGTTGAGAATTGAAAGTGAAACTGACTTGCTTGCTTGCAAAAACTAGCTTATCTGCTCTGAAAACTAGCTATCTGCTGCTGCTGCTGCTTGTGTTTTTGCTTATGTTACGTTGAAATAATCTTCAAATGGTATTGTAAACTTGTGTGTTTTCTAGGTGTGAATTTATGCTGCAAACTCTAACAGATACAACTTCCAACCATACTGTCTGTGTTTTCTGTAACCCTTTGGGTTGCACTACCAAAGTTTATTTCCCTGTACTTAGGAAATGAACCAGAAATAATGTATATGCCTCAAAGAGAAGTAACTTAATTTAAAATGAAAAACAAAACAAATATCTCAAATCCCAGGAAAACCAAAGAAAGCAAGGTCCAACCTATACATACGGTACGTGGCATTGCCTCTGACCTTAAGACTCGATTCTTTCCCCAAGCCTTTAAGTCCAGGTGAATGAAGTCTCAAATGTATTGCAGTACATTTCAGTCTAGCTGACATTTTCTGGCTTTAGCTGAAAAAGCATCATGTGCCTTTTGTATTTGTAATTGACTTTTCTAGTTATCCAGTCATTTTTGTTGATTTGGGTGATCAATAAATAAATGTATAGCATGGACCTACTTTTCCTCATCATCTTAGTCCCTGTAGTTCTTGTTGCTTAAAACCATTGAGCCTGAACTCAACTACCACCCCTCTTTTAAGTGATGGATAAGTAAGGACAAGAATATTTCAAATGACAGATACCTGGGGTTCCTAAGAATACCATTTTCTGAGAAAAGCCTTTTACAACTATGGCACTTCTGCAAATAACATTCAAAGACTCTCTGTAACTGTCCTATTAGCAACATGGATAGGCCATATAGAAATTGTATTAATACAAACATTGGCCAAATTTTGTCTGAATTTGGAGTTATTTAAAAGTTTTGAACTAATGGCCATCTTGTAAAAGCTAGTTGCAACCACTGATTTTACATTCACTGAAGAGGTACTTTCACTTAACTCTTCTATTATGTATGCTGTCAGTGTTATTGTAGGACCCCCACATTCTAATTGTGTGTTTGTGTGTGTGTGTGTGTGTGAGAGAGAGAGAGAGAGAGAAAGAAAGAAAGAGAAAGAAACTTCCTTTTATTTACTTTTTCAAAAGTAGTATATCATGTCTCTCAGCTGCTCTGCAAATAATAGAACTATTCAAACTGACATTGTTGATAATATATTGGAATGAATCACATACTGTGGAGAATGGATATTGCCTTTACAGACTTTAACACATATGCCTACCTTCTAGGAGCTATTAATGCTCCAAGCAGAAGACAAGGAATATAAGAGTGACCCACATAATTAAAGTTGCATTTATGGAAATCAGGGTTTTCCTGAAACGAACATCATCCAGAGGATGCAACTCCCTCAATTTCCTGTCAGTTTGGCTAAAGGTACCCGACATGAGCATTCTAGATAACAAAATGCTGATTCATTTCACTCTCTCTCAAACTTCTGCCTGACATTTCTGATGCAGATTCTTATCACTGAAAACTCAAATAATGTTGCCAAAAGAACCTCAAAATCAACATCTCCAAAGCAACCGCATGTGATGTAAGGACCTGTGATCTTCAACACATCTTCATCATTCCCATTCCTGATTGTAAATATTGGTAGCAGGGGGTCCCATTTCTGCACAACATAGCCAATCGTGGTTCCAGGAGGTGACTGAACTTCTAACTAGTAGCAATCAAAAATACGATTAACAGCATATGGATAACACACGTGATGCATATATTCATTTTTCATTTGTTTTGTTTTGTTCTTTAAATAGTACAGCTACAACATGGACACCCCCCCCCCCCAGCTTTGCATTCAGCCCTAAAGTGCTTCTAAAATTTGGGGCTGAATCATTATATTTGGCTGTTTATTGAGCTTATTATCTTAACAATTAGCAAATCTCTTAAGGTTTTAAAAGGAAAACATAAAACTATAGTTAAAACTGAAGACATTAACGCCACAATTAAAATACAATAATGTAAGACTGAACATGAAAATCAATAAACACACATGTTGTACTAATTAAGAATTTTGCTAATTAATGTAATTTAGGTTAATTACAGTATTTTTCCTAGTCCCACCCACCTTTATTCTATCTCTTCTCAGTTTCTGGAAGAAGAAACTCCAGGACCAAGTTGTGTCCTTTGAAATAAAAGTTCTCTTATTTTAAGGTATAATCTATTATTTATATTTAATCAGAGAATACCTGTTAGTTCCATTAATATGAAATATCTGGAATTTTCTTAGTATATTACAAGCTCTTTAGCCAATGCATATTCACTGGCACATATGCATATCTAGTTATATTTTCAATTTCTCTTCTTATATCATAAGTTCTTTCAAGACAGGGATGCTGGATAAGGGAGTATGGTTTTATCCTATAAAGTTGATGCTATATACATGCTACAATTGTTGCTGATTGTAATTATCATCATATCACTCCTTAGTGGGATAGAATCACATGTGGACTGCTGGGCACAGAAATTATGGAAGAAATAAAACTGGGAAAGAATATCTCTAGAGATCAGAAGGCTCATTTATGATTTTTTTTTTAAAATCCCAGCCCTCTAAAAAATCTTACTCTGTTGAATTGAATTTTGAATTGAGTTTTCAATAGAATGTACTTCCAAATACAAAACAATTTTATCATCAAAGTACGTTTTAAATTAAAATTAATCCACTTACTCTTTGATTAAATTATTCTTAAACATTACAAACCTGTTGAAGATAGCATGGAAACCAACAGCTACTGCATCTTAAAGGTCTATTCACAGTGATCACTTCTTGACCAGTATTGTCTGTGATTCTTATGGTGAAAGACCGTAATGGTGCACAGAAGTTCCGATCAAAGAAACCATTTTCTTCCACAGCATAATAAAGTCTTTGCCCCATGTGATTTTTTATCTCATATTTACTGCAGGTTTCAGTGCCGAGTATAACTATAGTCAAAGGGATAGACATTTTGAACAATGCTATATTTACATTTAGAGCTGAGCCAAATCTAATCTTTTTGAGATGAGATGTATCAACTACCAAATAGCCTACATATAATGAGATTATATTAGCTCTGGATTCATTCCATTAACACAAATTCTATTCCAGTTCTGTGCAGTAGTTGATGTTCCTTGTACAATAGACTGCAGCACAAGGATTACATTAGCATCAGGTGGAACTCTGTAGCTTAATATTTTATTCTGCTAAATATCACATAGGATACAACTCTTTGAGATTTACATGAGCTGATTCATTCAAGGAATGCACCAGCATATTAAACATTTTTCAAGATTGCTTGGTTTTAGTGAGAAAAAATCATACAGTTAGTTCTGCAAGCAAACTATGTGGCAAAACTAACCACATGCTTAAAACTTAACAAATGCAAAAAGTTATATGCTCTAGAAACAGACAAATTTGGCCACTTTCTACTTAATGTAAGAATCCAGATTTCAAATACCTTGAAGAAGTTCCACTTGCTGGTGAATTATGATCTGATCCAACTGTTCAAAATTGAAGAGATAATTTGAGAACAGTGAATATCTGAGAACAGTTTAAAAAGTTCATACTTATCAACTACCTTCATTGATAAATCAAATGGTTTTGCACAGTGTAGTAGAAATTCAGTAACGTAAACTACTTGAAGTAGAACTAAGCCAAATCTGCATAGGGAGATTCAGAGAATATATTTGGAAAAAAATATGTTGGAAATGTTTACAACATCATTTCTGTAAGAATTCTGCTCATGTATGATGTGAGGAAAGCAAAATGGAACACCTAAAATTAAGTAGGATCAAACAGTAAAAAATGATAATGCCCTTCTATTGCCACATTATTACTAGCTGGTGGTAGTGAGCATGACCCTTGAATCTCTAAATATTCTATTGAGGACTCTAATAAAGATCAGCCTGATTTAAAAATAATAATAATAAGAATAGAGCTGGGTCTGTTTATTATGCTTCTTATAATTCCCAAAGGAAACAATATTACACCAGGAACATCTTGGAGAAAAACCAAGAATATGCTGCACTGACAAATTACACATTCATTTTCTTCCATTTAAATTGGAAAGCAAGTAAAATATTGCATTATACAATAATTTCAGTTCTTGAAATGACTTGTGGACCTCTAAAACAGGTGATCATTCAGAAGTAACACATTTTTTTTACAGAGCTGTGACATTTAGTGTGAGGAGGAAGGAACTTATTATTCAGACCCAGAAACTTAATCAAAAAGAAGAGAGACATCTTTCACAACATTGTCACTGACACAAACACTTTTGACATTGAACAAGTTTATTCCCTTCTTTCAAGATATGGAAAAAATCCAAGTCCAACCCTCATTATTTAATGATAGAAGGTTTCGGAATCTGCTATGCTGTTATTACTGAACAGTATTTCTAGCAACACTTTTCATGGAGTATTTGGAAGTGTTTGATCAAATTTGATAGCGTTAGGCACAGAGCCTTAGATCAAACTGCAGTGATGGTGTGACAGACGTTCTAAGGTTTCATAATTTGAATTTGATTTCACAAGTTAGGTCCAGCTGCAAATGAAAAGTTGTGCTTTGTAGAAAACTTCAAAACTAGCTTCTTTCATTCTATAAATCGGAGCCTGGAGCAAAAGATTAGACAGGTTAGACCACTTTTTTTTGTGCAGAAGAAGATAGATCATAACAAAATTATATAGTTCCTTAAACCTTTGTTCCTCCATCATGAACTTTGCAATAAGAAAGAACATGGAAATAGTTATGTTGCTTCGTTAGAAAAAAGAACTCCAGAATTTACAATTGGCATTGGCAAACTTCAATCTTGCAAGATTTACTTCACTATTTATAAGAACGTCAGTCCAAACAGTGAGAGCCAATTGTAAACTAATATTGGACTGTCTCTGTTGACAAATGTTACATCACAGTTTCCTTGACATTCTGATGTATTTTCTTTTTGATCTGTTGTTTATGCCCTTTGGGTTTTATTTTAGTTTTCTTTAATCACTTTAATAAATTAGCTAGAAAAAATTGCTTGATTTGTTTGGCAACATTCAGATTTGTTCCTGATTTTTTTCCAGACTAGAAAGCTCTTGCATGAATTATAATCTCAATGCCTAGACACTTTTTTCCTCTTGATCTATTGGCTTTTTAAAATTACATTTGGCTTCTTCAAAAACCCACAATTGACTGGATTCACAGAGGTCATAATACAAGTTTTATAAACTTACATGGGCTGACTTTATTTTATGTTAAGCTAAAAGCAAATAAATCATAGTGTGATTGGTATAGTAATTAATGAACCAGGCTAAAAATTGGGGGTCTGTAAATTCTAATTATGCCTTAGGCATGAAAACTAACAGAATGACTTTGGATCCGTCACTCACTCTCTCACCTAGAAAGAAGTCAGTGGCAAAACACTTCTGAAAAACCTTGCAAGAAAACAGCAAGGGAGTCAACTCTGATGTGAAGATGCATTCATGAACACAGATACATATATGCACAAATTAAGTAGCAAGATAACTATCGTTATTATTGCCACATTTTATTTCCTTATAAGCAGAAGGAAAGGATTTCACATCATGTTAGCTTCTTGTTGCCCAAATTTTAATAATTGACTCTTTTGGGACTTCAGCATTATAAACAGACCCCCAATATTTATTAAAAAGAGAAACGTTGCTATGTTCAGGGAGCTCTTTCCTTGCTTGAAGAAGACATGAGGGAAGAGAAAATTCTTTGGAGAACATAAAACACCTCTGCAATTTGAAAGATATGAAAAACAGTAAAAGGACCTTTGAATTAAACTTGATCCCTAATAACTATAAAAATATCCATGCAATTTTGGGACTTCCGGTTTGAGCTTCTTTGATGACGGACCGAGATCCGCAATCATGTGTGGTTTCGATCCGTGCTCGCCGCTGGAGCCCCGAGCCAGCTGGTTTTGGGGCTAAGCCACCCTGTAGAGGTGGTGAAGAGTGGGGAGACCACCAGCAGGGTCGAGGAGAACCACATATCTCCTCCTCAGCTGGCCATTACTCCCTTTCCCGAAGGCGGTCTCAGCGGTGGTCAGAAATGGCCACCTCAAAGAAAAACTCGACCAGAAAAGAATGTTCAGGAAGAAGATAAGAAGCAAAAGTTTTGGGTGACCGGGTCGAACAGAAAAAGCAACAACATAAGGTACCCTGGAATTTGAACTATAAAGAATAACATTGCTCCCAAAGAAGATTTTGAAGCGGCGAATGAGAGAGGGAAGGGAAAGGATTTGGTTTTTTTTTCTTTCCTTCCCCATATTGACAACTAAGAGGTTTAAGTAAGAAACTGACAAAAATCCACTTTGACATTAACAGGTTTAAGCTGAAAATAAAATGTCAAAGGGACAATAAAGACTTTTGGATACTCAAAAACCTTTAAAAGCAGGAAAGGAGAGAAAAGGAAAAAAGCAAAAGGGTGGGATCTAGAAAAATGTAGGAGACCACCTGGAAGTAAAAGGAATTAACAGTGAAACTTTAACAAGATTCCTAAAAGATACATTCCAACTGAAACTTTGCAACAAGATAATAGAACCCCAGGAAGAAAAAGTGGAAAAAAAGAAGCAAGAAGAAACAACTTTGGATTACTTGGATTACTTGGTGATTTTTGAATTTTTGATTATTGGATCTAAAGGACTAAAATCAATCAGGTAGTTGTTTAAAAGTTTTTAAAATGGTATTACTATTGGAAGAACTGAAAATGGAACTTAAAAAACAGAAAGAAGATGCACAAGAAGGAAGAGGGTTTTTTTGACTTCGTATTTCAATTTTTAGAAATAGAGGTCCTGAACTATGAGAAACAACAAGAAATGCCTGTAGAACAAGAAGGGCGGGAAGAAGAAGAAACCATCTTCAATGTCCAAGTAATTCTATGTGGGGAAAGAAAAGGAAAGGGGGGAAAGAGAGTGAAAAATTTAAGATCTGAAAAAACACCCCCCCCCAAAAAAAAAGAATAGTTTGAAAATTACAACATTGGGAAGAAACAGAAGAGAGGATTACAGAAGAGAGAATTAGAATTAGAAAGACAAGGGGTCAAAAAGGGGAGGGAGAAGAAGAGGGAGAAGTGGGAAAGGAAAAAAGTTATAAAGGACAGAAACAGGATATAGAGAAACAGGGAAAACATACAAAGATTAAAGATATAAGCCTATTTAGAAGACACAGAGATAATGGATGAAAATTTAATTGAAAGAGGGATTCTGCAAGGGTATATAAGATAGTATTGTTATATTAGAAATAGAAATGAACTTAGAAAATATGAAACAAGTGTGATTAAAATGATAGATAAAATACTCAATGTAATGGAATGTTTGTTAATAAATAAATGAAATAAAGAGAATGAGAGAATGAAATTAGAAAAGGATAGGAACATTTTAATTATTATAAAAATTTAAGTGAAGAGGAATATGAAAGAAATATGGAAAAAATATGGAACTATCGTAAGTGTTCCTAAGGAAGTGTTCCTAAGGAAAATAAATGTTAAAGATGTTAAAGATTATAACTAACATTAATGATAGAGCTGAATTGGAATAGAATAGTATTTTACTTATTTTTGTTATATACATATACTTTCTCTTTAAGAACTTCATACGTATTTTAAGAATGTACCAAGCAGAATTTGACTGGAAGTTTTGTGTT